AGCCTAGGGTGACGGAAGGACGCTAGTTTGTGTCCTCCCATTACCTTAAGGAGAAAGTTCTCCTTTAAGTTTGACAACCCAGAGCTTCCTGAAAGACAGTGATTGTGTATGACCTTCTGAGGGTTACAGCATTTCCAAAAGGGTTTTCCAACAAGACAGTGTCAACCTAACAGGACATCTTCAGTGCAGCTCTGTACACTGCCTGTTACTCAGTACATAGCTTAGCTTTGCATTTTTTCGATAGTACAGGTACACTTCAGGTATAAAATTGTATGAAAAAAGAAAGCAAGAGAAAGTGGAAACATAATACAACAATATCAAGCAGATGTAAAGGAAAAATGATGCTTTCAATGCTTGCCAAGCAATTCATACTAGGTTATTTTCTCCTTTGTGCACAGCAAGAGAAAACAGTTATTGTAAGTGACAAGCAGCGAGGGATGACCCCTTAGTCATATCCATGTCTTGTACAGAATACAACATTGTTACTCTTCTGAAGTTAGCAAATCTACAGCATAAAATAGTTCTGACACTTGTGAAGCACAATATATTCCAGTTATTAGGAGACTTGATTCATTTACAGTAAACACAAAAGACTTGATAGTACGGTACAGGTTCTGAACAAACCTGTACTAAGAAAAGAGAAATGCCACAAGAAAAAGAACATGTGTTCTTTATTTTTTTTAACATCCAGCACTAAAAAGCACAATAGTAGCAGAGATGCTAGTGTCAATGAAAGTGCAAACACTAAAATCCTTTGCCAAATTACCAATACAAGTTCTTAGGAAACATTTAGTACCCATGTATGGGAAAGTATGGGTAAAATTGGTCCTGTAAATGCTGGGTAAAATACTTGGACCCTTATGTGCAGTTGTAAGAAGTACTTTCTGACAAATGAGGTCACGTATGGGAGTGTAATAAATACCCTAAACTAAACTCACCCCTGTCCACACTACAAAAAATTTCTGAAGAATGGGAGACTTCCATGTCGAGTCTAGAGATCATGCATTAAGTGACTCGGGAAAACATTACACCCCTGCTACATCTTCGGAGCCGATGCAATTTCTAACACCATTGTATAATAATAATAATAATAACAACAATAATTATATAATAATAAGTGAGAGCTTCAGGACTACACAAATATTGCCTCTGGGCTAAGTCTAGTAGTACTTAGTGGCCTCTCTGGGTGGGGATATTTGGAACTCAAGCCTGTTTTTCTCATCTCAGAACAAAACGTCCACATAATCCAACCCTGTTTTCCAGCAAGAAAACCCCAAATAACAACCTGTTAATTAAGATGTATAAAGATCTCAGACTGAATACATGCATGCTGCTGAACTTCATTTCTTTATGTATTTTTCAGTCCTGACCATAATAAACAAAGGAATTTTGTACAAAATAAATACATTCCCTTGGAAATGTGGCAAAGCTCTGAAAGGTTTTCTGAACCTGTCACTTAATCCACATATTAACAACCCAAACATCATGATTTATGTACACCAATGAAAAAAAACAAAAAAACATGTAACTACATTTACCATAAGCATGCTATTATTTCTCAATTCTAATGAGCAGAAGCAGGATTAAAAGACATGGTGTGATATCACTTA